TAATCAGCTTTTAATTATCTAAAGGAAAGGGGTTTGTAAAAGCCCTTCAAAGCCCAGTGTCTTTGAGTCGTGTTGCAAAAGAAAGGCAACGTGAGCCTGGCGGTTTGTGTGTTCACAGCAAGCTGTTCCTTTAAGCCACATATTACAGCCTCCACCAGCATTTAGCCATGAACGAAAATGCAGCTGAGTGATTCCTGGGTTGTTCTGAAAGCAAAGAGGGATTAATTTCAGCACAAACTGAATGCCTTCCTCCCAGTTCCTTTCATCCCCACGGAGATAAATTGGGGATACTCTCAGCATGAGGGCAACACAGTAGGAAAGCCAACTGTTCTGCAGCGAGATTTCAGAAAATCTCGTGGATTTGGTGCAGAGTACATCAGTGAAAGTAGTCAACTGCCTCCCAAAGGGTAAACCCCACCCCGGATCAGAGAGATGCTGCTTGCAGTTTGATTTGCTGCTTTCTGTCTGGCTGTACTGCTTTGGGGATTTTATAGGGACTAATGAATCAAGGACTCAACTTACCGTCCTCAAGGCTTCCTTTTCGCCCCTGTGAAACAGTAACAGCAAGGGCTGTGAGAGATCTCTTGATGTCTCATGCATAGTGCCTTCAATTTACAGTCACTTAATAAGATACTTGCTAATAGATGTTTTTGCTTGTGTCTTTTTCTTTTAGTTGTTTCCTTCTCCTTCATATTTCCTACCCAAAGCATCTATAAGAGAAACTTCTGCATTTGTGTAGCACCTAGCAGTACAGAGGGGCTCTGAGAGAGCAGTGTATGCTGTCATGCAACCCTGTCCCTCTCCTGTGTCCCAGCATGAGCGTTCAGTGGGTTGTGTTGTTGAATTAGTATAGAGGGCTATTTTTTGTCCTAAAAATTCCACTTCTACCTGCGTGCCTCAGATATGACCCCCGTGGGTGTGCTGTAATCTAAGTAACAGATGAACATTTAAGGGGTGATTGCTACCTACTTCTTACAGATGAGAAAACCTTGTCACCCAAACCAGGCAGATAATTCAGGGGAAGACAGTGGCAGATCCAGGATCTCTAGTTGCCAGGTCGTGTGTGTTTGACTAGGTCACACTTTCTATTGGGGTGGCCGTAAAGGAGAAACTCGGCTTGAGTAGTTGGGTACAATTTCTGGAGGGACAGCTCACATGGGAAATCCTGAATGACTGAATGTCTTCCAAATTCTCTGTATGTGAGATGTGAAGAAGTTGAAAAAACTAAAGAAATAAAACTTTCCTACTAGCATCTTAAAAAGCCTGGCGATGGGTAAGCCTGAATAACAGGCCTGGCAAAATATCATAGAATCATAGACCAGCTGGAGCTGGGAGGTACCCACAAGGATCGAATCCAGCCCCTAGATCCACATAGAACAGCCCAAAAAAGAGATCATTGTCCGAGCACTTCTCAGGCTCTGACAGGCTTGGTGCCGTGACACCTTCCCTGGGGAGCCTGCTGCATGCCCAGCCACCCCTCACTGAAGAACCTTTTCCTAACACCCAGCTCAGCCTCCCCCCTTTCTTGGGGCTCCAAGAAGAAGGCACATCACTTTTTCTCGAGGTCTGGGAGGTGGGAAAGAAGGGCATACACAACCATCAGCAATCAAAAGCTCATTGCTGGGTTGATGTGCTCCTTTAGGACGTCCGTTCTGTTTATCATGTCCAAGTTGATGGTGGGGGCAGAGACTGTGATGCATACAGGGAGCTGGCTTTGTGCTCCTGCAATTTTGTTGCCCTGACTATGACATCAGAAAGCCTCTGCGATGGCCGCTGTGATGGTGGGATGCTTCTACCCCGAAGGGCGAACTTCGGAAAGTGTTTGCAGCCTGCCTTGCCTCATTTTCCTCTTTGTGAGATAAGAGGAGTGATTCTGAGCTGCCATATGGCTGCAGCGGTATCTGGAAGAACAGATAACTGCACAGAGTGTTGTGAAGGGCAAAGCTCCTTTTATTTATTGATACTGATTGTACCAGTCAGTACACAGCTGTGTTCAACTGTGAAAGTCTTCCTACCTCTAGAGAGGCCCATTACTAAATCCTTGTCCACCATTCTGAGGACAAGAGGACCCTGGGGGTTAGGCAGTATCTCTCCCTGGTGGAGCTGTGTGCCGTCCACCTCTGTTAGCAGCTCATTGACATACTGCACACTGCTGCAGGCCTTACTGCAAGCCTGAGACTCGGGGAGAGCAGTGATGCGTTCAGCTGTCACGCTGGGACTCAGAGCCTTTACAAGTCAGTTCATCTCTTGATCTTGAAAAGACAAAAGTAACGAACCTCTTGAAAGAAGGTTGCTGTTTGTCCTATTGCACTGCACGTTGTTTGGACACCGGTTAGAGGAGGCTGGAGTGAAAGCACAAACCTGTTGAATGAATAAATCGGCTTAGAGAGCTTTGTAGCGATTTACTCCGCTCTTCGGTCCTTTGGGCTTGTGTGCAGCTCATAAACGGGCTTATTATTCTATCATGATTCATAGCTTTGTGGCAGGAGCAGTGGGGATATGTGCCACCAGGGAAGGGAGAGGGGCTGCAGACGGAGCGTTTCAAGTGGAGATCAGGCAGAGGTCACACTGGAATGCGGGAGAAGAGGGAGAAGCGGGGGCTGTCCCCTCAGCCAGCAAGCGAACAGCAGGGCTGATGGATGGCTGCAGACACGATGCAGCCTGTGCAGGAGGTGACCCTTCCCAATCAAGGCTTAATGTTGTCACTGCTCTTTGGCATTCATTCTGCAGAATTTAGAGATCTCCTAGAGGTGGGAAAATGCTTTATAAATCTCCACCTGATAGGAAGCTTTGTGATGAGTTACATATAGGCCATCTTGAGGGAGGCTTCAGCTCTCCCTTCCCCACCCTGGGGCTTCTCTATTCTACTTTGAACTTTCTGTGAGCAATGTCAGCCTTTCCCACAACAGTGGCAGAGTTTCTTACTGGGATATTTTGCCCTAGCATACACTAAGGCATCTTAGAAGCCCTTCCTGCTCCCTTAGCACATATGACATGTTGTCCTACTGGCAGTGCAGCACAGCTGGTTTATGCATACTGGGGAGCCTTCTGTCACTGGGGATTAATGCTGCAAACAGCAATGGCAGGTGGCCTGAAATGGAGCTTCAAGATGTCCCAGTCCATCATTGGTGTGTCTGATCTAATCTGTCAGTCAGTCTCCTTGGCAAGCGATGAACAGCCCAAGCCAGGCTGCCCAGCCAGATGCTGAGGTATGGTTGGTGTTTCAGAGCTGTTGAGGAAAAAAGGAGAAGCTTTAGCCTTGAGCACCTGTCTTTGTTTTTGCAGCACGAGGCCGAGCTTCGTCTGAAGGGGGCGGTGTGCTGTTCTGCATGCAGAGATAGAGCAGATGTGCTGCTCAGTACGTAGGTCAGAGGAGCTCAGTGCGTGCTGCCCATACGCAGTCCCTATGCTCAGTCATTCCCTTTCTTTTCCTGGAGACCTCCTCAGCAAAGGCTTTGTGGCAGAGCCTGACAGCTGCTGGGGCAGCTGTGGATGTTCTCTCTACTGTGACCTTAGGAGGCCTCCTTCTGCACACTTCTCTCTGCCATTGCAGTGAGACTCCGGTCATCTGTGGACGAATGCAGGAGCTGCTCTGAGAGGATGTATCCACAGTGACAGGGGACACAGGAAAGTGATAGAACACATGTTCTCACAGTGCTCACAGAGACACCGTCTTCTGATTCTTCCATATGTTTTCCAGGCAAGACTTAGGCTCTGGAAGTGCATTCATCTTGTGCTGAGCAGTGAGGTGCAGATTGTTCTCTGCATGTGCACATGCTGAAGTTGGGGTTGATCCTGTCCACGCTGAGGAGTACAAATAAGCTGTGAGCAGAGCTGTGTGTGCTGGTGATGGGGTCATGGTCGATCAGCACACAGTGACTGCACCGGGGGAGGACAAGAGCTGAGGCCCTTTTATGTCCAACCACCTTCTGGCCAGGCCCTCTCTCACTGGTTCATAAAGGAGTTTGGGATGGCTGTCCTCCTGTACTCTCTTGGGTGTTTAAAGAAATGGAGGTGAATGAAGGACTCCATGCCTAGATAGGAGCCCTTTTTGATATGTGCTGAGTCAAATGATTCACTGTGACCCTGTGGCTCTTGGCTGCAGCTCCTGGTGCGGTGCGATGGCTGGCAGATGCAGCAGGCAGTAGTGTGAGTAGTTTAGAGATGCAGGTGAATTTGTGCCTTGTTTGAGTTAGCTGTGTAAGAGCAGCTGTGCTGTGTGAGATCAAGTGTATATGTGGCCAAGTATTCTTTCTCCCTCAGTGACAAATGGTGGATGCCTAAGGAAGAAGGCAGATGCGAGGCAAGCATGTTGTGGCACCTCCTTCGTGTGTGCTCTCCACCTCCAGAGGTTTTTCACTTCCTTAGCCAAGAATAATTTCATTATATTCCATAGCTTTGGAGTTTCCTTCCTTGAATTTGTGCAGTCACTTCTTTGGCTTAGGAGAATTGATGGCATCCAGCACCCTGAAGCAAAGAGTTCCATTGCTCTCGTCTCGCTGGTGTCTAAATCACAAGGTTTCACTCTTAAAGCAAACCCATTAAATCAAAGATTTAATGGGCAGATTCCATTGATGCATTGGAAAACTGGGTCTCAGTGGAAGTGTGAGTCAGCACGATGTTGCCTGTAGCTTAGAAACGTTTTCAATACTCCTGGCACAAATCTTTCTTTATAAAAAGGCTCCAGTTTGCACCTGCCCGTGCTCCAGGACTTGGAGAGTGTGCTGAGGTTGGATCTGCAGATGGGCATTTCTGCAAAGGGCCTGGGAAAAGTAAGGCTAAGAAGGAGAGCTGGTTTCTTTTTCGCCTTCACATAGGGCTGAAGTTACGTGCAATAGTGTGATCATAGATGCTCTCTACTTACGCCAGGTGCAGGTAGCCTTCACCACCTGTGTGGTGCTACAGCAGCATCAGTGCAGGAAGGCCAGACACTGGTTGTATGTTTGACAGGCTCTGTCACCATGTTTAATGCTTTCTTTTTTTTTTCTTTGCTGAAGGGAACTCTGAATGGGAGAGCCTTGCAATGGGACAACAGCCAAGAGAGCACCTGAACAGCAGAGCACTTTGGTAGCAGCGAGAAAAGTCAATACAGGTTCTGATAGCACAGCAGCACTCAGCAGGCTCATTGCTTTCTCTGACCTACAGTGCTGACATCCAAACTGAAAGGACTACATTTAAGTGTCAAAGAGGTAGGAGAAATGTAGGATGAGGTGTCTTATGCATCGGGTGATTCTAGGAGTGCATTAGAGAGGCAAGATCTGACTCCATTTCTCCTGTGTAGGTCACATGTGCAAGCCATGAGACTGTACTTTGGAAATAGTTGGGAGCAAGCGGTCTCTGTCAGAGAGACGAGTCCAATTCAGGGTGCACACAGACTGATGCCATTTTGTCAGAGCTGCACCTGCTCGTGCCAGCTCGGAGGGTGGCCGAGGGCCAGACAGCACTTTGCTAATCAAATAGGAGACATGGAAGTGAGTTTGATTAAAGCTGAGAGACAACATGTGGGGGAATGGTGGGAGGAACCACTCTGAGCCAGTGGAAAAGAGATCTGCTGGAAAAAAATGATGGAGAAGGATTTCTGCTGTTTGAATGGGTGAAAGTAATAAGAAAAGAAAAGCTCAGAGAAGGCTGCGGGTCTTTGGGAGATGTGATGGTTAGGGACAGCAGCAGGAGAGCAGCCAAATCTTCTTGTCGTAACATTTCAGACCTGCTGTGGGCAAGCATTGCTGCAACTTTTGTTAAGCATGATAATGCTAAATCCCAAAGACTTTGCCCAGCAGCTTAGGGGGACACAGAGAATAAATGAGGTCTGATTCTGGGATGTGCAGGCTGTTGCCTCTTGTGTGCAGAAGATCCTCCTGAACCAGGAGTTGGGGATTTGGCCCTATGCTGTGCAATGCTCTCTGTGAACAGCTTATGCTGAATTATCACCGTGCTCAGGGCTCTGTTCCCAGGGGAACAGGGAGCTGGCAGCCAGGAGACTCAAAGGGGACAGGGACCTCGTGTGGGTGGTGGGGCCAGAGCTGACTGGGTGGCAGTACAGCTCGTGAGGCTCTGTGATCACTGAGTCTCTAAACCCAAGGATGTGCTGCAGGAATCCTGCCTTACACCCTTTCAGGACATGGGGAGAGGTGGAGCTGCTGTGGTTTCTGGCAGCTGCCTTCCAGCAGCTCCAGCACTGCACGTGCAGTTTGTGTGATGTGAGCAGAGGAGCTGATGGAGCCAGCATAGCCTGGTGGGCTTTGCTGCCGTGTCCTAAAAGGAAAATGTTTTTTCTTTAGGGGACCCTTGGCTGTGGCATCGACCCTCAAAACAGTTTTGCATGTCCTTTTAGTGAGACATATTCCCTCTGCTTGCTGAGCTGGTTACAAGATGGTAGATGAGCAGTAGGGAAGGGAAGATACTCTGAATGGACTGAGAGAGCAGCCACCTAACCTTCCTCTTCTTCTCAGGATGTGTGTCATTAAAGCCATTAGACTTAGACTAGGGAAAATATAGTCAGGGAGGGGGAACACAAACTGCATCAGAGGTTTGGGCAAACCATTTGAGACCCGATATGATTGAGTCACACTGAAGGGAGGTAAGATTCTGTCACGCGTGCCCGCTGTAGTGAGTATGAACAAACCCAGAACAGCTGGCTGTAGCATATGGAGCATCCAGAAGGGAACAAAGCTGAAATAATTCCCTTTCCTCTGCTCTTTGCTTATCCTGGCCCTGATTCAGGAGAGCGTTGGGGATCGTTCTCAACTTTAGGCCTGCACAGATTTCCATGATATTGAGTTTCAGTTTTACAATTGACTTAATGAATTTTCTGTACAGATGCTTGTGCCTGAGTACCATTGGGGTACAGCATTCCTGAATCACAGAGCCCAGAAAGGCACTGAAAGAGCACTGTCACCTCTGTGAAGCTCAGAAGGAATTCCAACCTGCAGGTGTTCACCTCGGTTCTGGGCAGGAGCTGGTCTGCAGAAAGATCTTTATGAAGAAGGCAGGAAGAAATGTGAGACGGATCAATTCTGTCACACAGCTGGCGACTGGGCCTCTTCTGGGCTGGTGGTATTTTTACTTTCCCTTAGAGCTGATCAGGTTTTAGGCTTTGAAAGGAAGCAGCTTCCCTCATCTGCATGCTCTGCACATGGAAATGGCTGCTCAGGAAACTCGAAGGTGGCAGGTTTACCTGAGCTTTCAGAATCAGGTAGAAATGATTTACTCTTTCATACTTATTTCCCATCACCATGACAAGGTTCAGGGGCTGAAGGACACAAGTGGTAATGGAGTCCCATTGCCAGCGCTGCTGTAGCAGTGTGGTGACAACGGAAAGGAGTTGTGGCATAAGCAACATACATACATGTGTGTCTGTGTATAAAAAGGTGAATGTGGTGTAAGTGATCTCAGTCATCATTTCTGGCTTCAGTACCTAAGAGGTTGGTTATCAGCTGCTCTTAGCCAGCGATGCAGTGGTGGAATCAGGTGCTGTCTGTCCAAAACCAGTATAAAGAACAGAGGAATTCACAGGAAAGCTGCTTGCTTCTTGTAAAAACCATTCTGTGTGTGCATGTAAGTGTGTGTATGGGTTTTGCACTTGTCTCAGCATTTTTAGGTGGGCTGTGAAGCAAATTTTCTGAGCATTCGGCACCTCCTGCTATGCAAAGGCAGGCCTGAACATTTGTTAGGTTAGAATTCATCTTTGTGGTACCCTTTCAGCAAATGCCTCTTTTTAGATAAAAAGGTTTATTTGTGATTTGCAGAACTCTTTCAATCTATTGGCTCCTCTGATATCCTAAACCTATTAGTTCACCATCCATCTACAAAATTTTCCAGGAGAAAGCAGGCGAGACAAGAACTGAATTTCTAATAGAAGAAACAAAACAAAGAAAAACCACCACCAACAAGCAACAAAACCACACCAACAAGCAGGAGCCAAAATGAAATCAGCAAAGCAAAATCCTGCCCAAAGGTCTCAGGTTCCATTTTGAACTCAATAAGGCAGGGTATAAAAATACAGCCGTGCTTCTCCCTCCTCCCTGCACCTCCCTTTTAAGCAGAGCATACCTAATCACTGTCAGGCTCCCAGTGCCTGTACTGGGGCTGTACCCTTTAAGCAGCTTCTGAGCCCACAGGCAGAGCTCACTGGAGAAGCAGCCTGAAATGAGCTGGAGCAGCTGTATTACATGGTCATTTATAGCTGGTAAGTGCTGCTGCTTGGGACCCTGTGACCATGGCCCCTAGATCTCTTTGTGCTGTTGTTCAAAAGGCCAAAAGATGGGAGAAGAAACAGAGAACCAGGAACAGGAAAGATTTTTTCAGCAAACCTCAGCATTGGCGTTACAGCATCTTTCTCAGCTCGTAGGCAGAAGCAAAGCAAAACTATTCTCAAAGGTGCATTTCAGCTCTATTAAAATAGTCATTCTACACCAGGTTTTTTTAATACGGTCTCCGTAAGTCTTTAACATTAAAAGATAACGAGAACAGGCAAACAGACAAATCACAATGCCTAGCGCCCTGCTAAAACATGGGAGCAGCCCCCCCTGCAAGAGTTTGACTTTCCTCACTGCTGGTCATTTACATTTTCATTTATGAAAAGGAGGAAAAATGAGCTGCCACCGCAGCACCTAAGCATAATGGAAAGGAAAAGCCTTGGTGCATTCCACACGAGGCTGCGCTGTCAGGCTGTGCAAGCAGGTCATAATGTGATTCCTTTCGTTCCGGCCCTAAGCCTGCCTTCCAGTTTGATCACAGAGCTCAAAAATATTTTTTGCATTTGATAATATCCCTGTTCTGCTCGGCCACAACTTTCTGCTCTCTATTATTTTCCTTTTGCAGTGTTTTTGGAGACAGAGCAACTCCATCCCTGCCAGTGCTGCTCGCATTGTTCCTGTTAATAATTACCTTCATCACAGTAGTTATTAGGGGCCCCAACTGCTGCAGACTCGATGCATGTACAAGGCAGCCTCTGCCTGAGGAGCTTAAGGTCTAAATAGGCAAGGCAGATAGTGGAAGTGTTATCAGTCTTATTTTTACAGAGAGCTTAAATGACCTGCCGAAGGTCACACAGAGAGTCTGTGGTGAAATCATGACTGGAATACAGATCTTCTATGTTTTATTCAAGCATCTAACCCAGGTTCCTGGCTGAGGAGGGCATTTTGAGGAGGCTGCCTGTACACACGTGGGTCTGGGGGCAGTTCTGGGCCGCATACTGGATTGGCATGTGCCCTCCTTTTGAAGCACGTCTGTGAGGAGCTTCAGGTGTTGAAGCAAATGCATGGGTGGCACCAGCAGCTACACGTGCACGAGATGCGTGCTCACCTGGGATGCACGTCTCGGTGCAGTTCAAGGACAGAGCTCTCAACAAAGTGGCAGGAACTGTTGGTGTTCTTATGGAAGTGTTCACTATTCCTTGACTGTGCCAGAACAGAATCATGCAATCATTAAGGTTGGAAGAGACCACTAAGGATCATCTAGTCCATCTCTCCCAACCACGTCCCTCAGTTCCAGATCTGCACGTTTCTTGAACACCTCCAGGGCTGGTGACTGCAGGGTAAAACTTGCACATTCAAGAGATGGTGGCCGAGCTGCTGTTGGGTTGATGAAGAGTGCAGTCCAATGATGGCTGTGCCTAGCTGTGTGGGTCTTGATGCTCAGAAGCTTAGGTAAGCTAAGAACCTCAAGCTGTACAAAAGCAAACATTTTAAAGTGTTGTTACAAAATACACATTTAAAATAATAAGAAAAAGACTGTGATGTAGTATCCACCAGGAGAAGTAACTATCCTACAGAGCTCCCTTCTGTCAGAATGACCCTTGGAGGACTGGAGAAAGATGAAGATCCTTCCTCTAAGACCCTTTTGCAAGGTCAGGGAGGTTGCATGGGCTGCGTCTCTGCCACACCTGAGGGCAAGGAAATGGCTTCTCTTGTGCAGGGACAACCTGTGCTGTGTAGTGGTCCCCTACCTTTGTGTTTGGCTGCGGGAATGCCTTACGTTAGTTTCCATCATCATTTCCTGGAATCAAGGTACTGATCTTCGAGAATTAGCACAACCACCTCATTAGCTGATTGCTTTAGAGGCCATTTTAAAGAACTGCTCTTTTCCTTAGCGTTTCCAGTCTGCTCTTCCGTTGCTTGCAAATACAAAATTCCATTTCCCTAAGAGTCAATTTATGTCTAAACTATAATAATTAGCCGTTTCAATGCATTCCAACGTGTCTGTGTTTTTTAGAATAATTTCATAAAACACTTTGCACATATAATTGAAATTGACTTTAACTTGAAACTCAGAGTCGGTATTTCTGCAGTCTAAGTTTGTTTCTCAAGGAAAATATTATTCCTATGTCTGTGAAAGGAAGGAAGGAACGTGATGTGTGCCGCACGGTACAAGGATTGAGACTCAGAATTTTAACAGCTTTGGCCAGTTTTGACTGTAGGACTGCTGAATTCTGCACTCAACGTCCACATTATTGAGTCTCTCAGTTCATGCTGCAGTCAGGGTCCAGCTCCACAAGGCTTTTTGACAAATTGTAGCCTTTGAGTAATTGTCATGGTTTCCTGAGAAGTCAACAGTGTTGTTTTTTTTCAGCGGCTGGATTGGATTAAGGCAGTTTAGTTAATTGCGATGTGAAGGGAGACATTTGAGAGCTAATGCATACTGCTGAATACAATTCCTTTTCATTTTTTTTTTTTTTTTTTTCTGGACACAATGTTTTCTTAGTTTAAAGTTGCATTTATGGCCAAATAATTTGTCTTCAGCTCCCCTTTGTAACTTACCTTTCAATTAATGTCTTTTGCCATTGTTTTAATTTTAAAGCTGTGCCATTAAAAAGCTTTTAGCACGCTGTGGCAGGCCCATAAGTGGCGTGGAGTTCTCAAAGTGCCTCCTAGTGCTGATTTTCCTGAAAGAGCTTAAAAATTGCTGCAGAATGACCCTGTCCTCTTTTCCTGCGCCAAACTCACACCACAATTCTATGAACATTAAGAAAAATCTTTTCAGACGTAGTCTATAGAAATGCTCTGTGGGAATGCTGGAAAGATTAGGCCGAAAGATTTAAAGCTCAGGAATGCAGCCTTCTTGATGAAGGGACGGTGCATCCAGAAGCATACTTGCCATATGAGTTATTCTTGTGTTCCATCAGCCTAGGGGAATAGAACTCCCCATACAAATGCTTATAAACATTACCAATTACAAGTGGAGACACTTTGCCAATATTTAAATAATTTCATTACAGTAAATCTTTAACTTTTGAAAATACTCCGAATGAAATTTTCAGTGCTGCTTTCCAAGTAATGAAGAAGATGACGGGCTGTTTCCTTTTCAACGTTGTAGCTGAAAATGATTATTGAATATTTTGATTTTCCAAAATTTGTAGCATCGGAGACAACAAATAAAATTGTCCTTCTCCAGAACGTCTTTGTTTCCTGTACTGAAAAAGAAGTTAATATATTTTTGTCAATAAACAAAGATTTTGCCTGATGAAGATGCAGCGTTTTAGCTGTGGGTTAATCTCGTAGAAGCAGCGTTATTTAATTTGCCACTGACTCAAGAGATCTGTGCAGACAACTCTGAGCAGCGCTGTTCTGTGCCGCTGCGGTTTCACAGGAGCCACTTTGTTACTTTCTGCATTTCCATCCAATAACCATTTTCAGAAATGTTCTTCGAAGCCGTTCTGTAGCAGTCCTCCAGTGCCTGTTTGCATGCTGCCTTGCTCATGGCAGACTGTCAGGTCCCACTGAGAAACATTTTCTGCACACCCTGTTGTGAGTTTGCTTACAATTACAGCTCCCTTCAATGCAAAATCGTATCCAGCCATCTTGCAAAATACTGAATCTCCCGCATTGTCTCCTGCACCTTGAGCTATTGCTAAGAAGCTGCCACTGACACTGGGGTTCTTACCAGAGCAGGAGAACACAAGGAAATAGCTGCTGGTGTTGGTTTTCATTTCAGATCTCATCCTGCTCAGTGGGTCTGCAACCCGCAGACACTGGGACTTGCACAGTCAGAAACTAGGCCACGATGAGTATAGGGAGGCGTCATCTGCAGAGATGAGCAGGCTCAGAAAATCCAATATTCTAGGTGAGCTTCTCTTGTACAAGTGGCTGTAGCCTGTCCGCTTGTCTTTTGGATCCTAGTGGCAGTTGAGACCCTTTCCATCTAAAATTTCTAAAGACTCTTAGGGTCCATTGCTCTTGAAGATGCTGCAGAAGTGTGAAGTGCTGCTGCTTGAAATCACTTATCAGCACTCCACCTCAAATAAGAAGTCAGTCTGGGGAGGTGAAGCAGTCTTTCCACAGCTGCCCGGAGTCGCTACAGCCTGCCTCAGGGAAGTGGGTATCTGAAGTGCCTTTCTCAGTCACTTCCAGTCCTCCAGCTCTCAGTGATATCCTCCATTCTCAAGCTGTCACCTCACTGCAGGCCTGGAGAGAGAGCACTTGCTTTCTCTGAAGGAAACCTTCCAGCTCCTCTCTCCCCCAGACCCAGCCCAGGTGAGCTTGGAGGAGCTGCAGGGCATTGGGGCTAGAAAGCAAGAACAGAGCTCTGGGGTGAAGTCACACCAAACTGCCCTCACTGCTTTCCTCTCCAGCCTGTGGGCTGCTGTGGGATTAGCACAAGATCAAGAAAATGTTTCTCCCTTTCTCATTAGACACGCGTGGATAATTTTTTATTACAAGTTCAGTAAGTTCAGATTTGTTCAGTTTGAACTCTTGACTAACCCCCACTTTTTTTTCCTGTATTTACTATGATTCAACCTTCTCTTTACTGTAGTTATAAACGAATGAAAAAAGGCCATTTTCAAGAAGCAGGGATGCTGAGCTACCCGCTGCTTTGGAATTAGTTGGAGGGAGTGAAAGTATGCCTAGTACTGCGTGTGCTTCTGCAGCATTGGAAAATGGATCAAACGTGCACCAGGGCTGATTTCAAAGTGCTTGTGATGCAGGCAAAGCTTCTATACGCCCATATGTGCCATCATTAGCACCAAACAAATCCAACGGTAGGCAAAGAACTTTAGAAATCCCCCACAGGAAGTGGTTTACACCCTGGTTTTTGGAGTCCACAGCAAACAGGGACTACTGGTAAAATTCAGAATTGCTTATTACAAAGTCAAACAGCTCAAACAATACTCTGAGGCAGAATCAGTCACTCCAACAAACATGAGTACGAAATGCCCAGGCATGTACTGGTACTTCAGCTCCCGTGGGCTTTGCTCAGCTGTGTTGTGGAGGTGCTGCAAACATGCAGCATCCCCTGAGCTCTGCGGCTCCTGCAGGAGGTCCCTGGTGAGCAGGCAGAAGTGGACAAGGATGTTTGAAACCTTTTCCACCCAGCCTTGCCTAAGGCACTGTTTCTGAAGCATGTAGATGTCAGTTGGATTTCTGTGCTGTTGGCAGCATTTAAAATGGAGGCCCAGGCCCAGAGCAGCTGCTGCTTCTGCAAGTCGGGAGTCAGGAAGGGCACGATTCATCGCCACAGCAATATTGTGCCTGGCTCTGCTCCCTCCCACCCACAAGTATGAAAAGTGAACCAAACTCTTCTCACAACAGTAGGAGGTTGCACAGCTGAGACCTCCCCTGAATTCTCCACTGGTTGCAATAAAAAGCAGATGTGCAAACCCTTCCTGGAGCAGGGGGCTGCAGTGGGCACCTACTGGAATGTTAAGAAGGAAAGACAGGATGGTTTGTTGCTGACGGAATGTTGCTTTGCTCAGGGGACCATATTATTGCTGTTATTTATTATTTATGCTCTGCCAAAGGTGTGCTTTATAGGCACAGTTTGAAGAAGAACAGTGTCCAGTCCCACTGGATGCTGAGCTGCTGCTGGCAGATGCAGAGGGGCAGGCTGGAGGGGAAGGGCAGGCTGAAGGGGCCACTTCTCCCTGCACTGCACTATAGGAGTCTCTTAGTGGTGCCAAGGTGCTCTCTGGGCAGGAGGTGGGCTTGGCTGGGGAGCTTGGCGTGGCTTTGTCACCACTTTGCACAGTTGTCGGCTGGTAGTGTTTGCAAGGGCATGTACCCTGTTTGATATGCATTCAGAGTCTGGCAGCAGTGGGAATGAGTGAACAATAAAAATGCTGCTGTCACAGCCCCAGTTTTTTCTCTCTTTTTTTTTTTTTTTTTTTACAGATTCCCAGCCATCTGCTGCCTCACCAGCTGCTCTCGATGCAGGATGAAACTTATCTCAATTCAGGAACCTGGGCCTCAGGCAGAGGGGTGGAAGGAGCATCGCTGACCTCACAAGTGCTGTCTGCAGGATGCGCGCCCAGACTGGGTAAAAGCTCTGGAGGGATGGGGAGCGAAAAGGGGGAATAGGTGAAAGAAGTGAAGATAAAACTCACAGGCAGCCTCTTGTTGACCCCTTAGAAAATGTTAGAAAATGTTGACCATAGAGAAATGCTGACCTGGGGCAGTGTGAGGGGGCCTGGATCAGATGGAGGTCCGCCACCTCCTTTAACCAGCATTAGGTTGACGGAAGAGAAGGCATTCACCCAAGGCTGCAGAGGATGTGTGAGATCCTTGGTGTGGTGCTGCAACCAGCCCTGTTTGCTTTGAGGCCATTTCTACTGGGGAAGGGGAGAGGAGCCTGGTGGCAACGGAACTGGCAGAGGTGGAGGGAAAGAAGGGAAGTCTGCCTTAGAGCAGCTGAGCAGCTACCTGCAGATAGGGAATGGAGAGACAGCTGTTGGAAATGTGTGGGGTGAGAGGCCCCAAGGAGTCTGACTGCCAAGGAAAGGAGCATACATTACTTGCTGTCTTTGAGGCATCTAGTTGAGCATTTCCTGATTTCATTAAGTCTGATTTTTATAATCCCCTTGGGGTTCAAGCAGCTAACTGGAATGCTCTTCACTCCTGTCCCTTGATCCCTCCAGTGCCTGTCTCCAGAAACAGTAATGATGCTGGACCAGGTGAGGAGGAAGCAGTAGGTTGGCCACGTGAGCCGATAGGGAGTGACCAGGTTCCATCCTTCATTTCCAGAGAGCTCCTCTGCTTTGCCTGTGCCACTTCAGGCTGCTCAGAGCACCCTCCTCCCGCTTTTATGCGTTTTCCAATTAAATTTCCTCCATGAGGAGGAGAGAGGCACTCTGAATCCATTAGCATTAGTAATTACGCAGACGCTTCGGGGAGTTGACTGCCCATCATTACATATAATTAATGTTTCTGGTTATGAATGGAGGGTTTGTTACTTTTTTCTCCTTTTTGTGCTGGAATAGGGCGGGGTAGAGGTGCAAGGGGGTGATGTTACTGTATTCAATTTGCATAATCAGAAGACCTGATTGGGTATGCATGAGGGTAGGGGCTGGGGGGAACTTTCTCCGGTGCACACTCTATTAAGCTGGTGGGAAAACTCAGGAGGGAGATGCAGAATGCAAAGCAAGGGTGAGCACAGCACAGTGACTGCAGACAGCAAGAGGCTCAGGTTTATGCAATGCCACCATCACAGACAGGGAGGGAGGGAGCTTTGGGCTCACGTGGCTATGTGCAGTGCCCTGTGCTTAGCCCATCGTTTTACTTCACTTGATTGTTTGAAATGAACTAGGGGTTCTTTAGCCAGATTATATTCCTGGTTTTTATTTGAGTATACACACTATATGCAGGCTCCAGACGTGTGTGTACACCAGGTGACACAGAGCTGGACTCCAGATTCTCCAGATTGCTCTACTCTACCTCAAATTTATCCCGAGTCTTTCTCCCCCAGCCCCTGGATATAGGCAGCCTATCACTGGATTCAAGGCTTTCTTGTTTTGTGACAGCTGTTACGCTCTCTCACTGCTCCACAGAAAGCATATATAAACCATGGCTTGGCCTACTGGAGGATTTATGGAAACATACCTGGTGAAGGGACCTGCAGGAGTGGGGAGAAGGTCCTGGAGTCAGTATTTAGTTATTGAGACAATGCCATGGGAGGGCAGAAAGGTTCTCAAAACAGGGAGGGATGAAGCAGTTGTGTGTGCAGCGTAGATCAGGTTGGCCAGAGAATGTCTCAGTCAAAAAAGAATGTGGGACAGCAGTTGTTCAGACACTCTGATGCTTGAAGTCCCACGCTGTTTGAAGTACTGTGTCCTACCTTATGGCTGTCCTTATTTTCTGACTGATTACAATCTACTGCTTGCAGTGCAGACGTTGGAAATTGGATGAATCTCTTGTGGTATCTCCTCTTTGGTCAGCACAAGCAGAGTGTTTCCCCAGCGGTGCAGTGGAGAAAGACTTGGATCATCCCTGTTTGTCCCACGCACTGGCTCATCAGATATTTCTAGAGAAGGTAGGGAGAAAATTGGCTTTGTTTCCCAGCATGTTACCCCAGAGCTTGTAGAAACGTGAGTCAGATTCCCAACACTTTTCAGTAACCTTTGGAAGAAGTGGAGGACACACACAGGAAATAAACCATGCAAGACAAAACCAGAGGAAAAAAAAAAACAACACTGCTATTTCTGTGTAAATGTTTATCGGTATGTATTTGCACATGTGGTTTTAAAACAAAAGATCAGTGGGGAAAACTTGAAGTTCATTGCACGCCTTGCAAGAAGAAGAAAATCAGTCTCTTTATAGCGGGCCAGAATGAGAGGACACCAGCTTTATTCTGAAGAATGACTTCTGGCAGAGGAAACTTGAGGCACAACTGGATTCTGTTTTGTTGAGGTTTTGTTCTCTCTAACTGAGAGTTGCTTTAGAGATTTGCAGTTCTGAGGTTCATGCTGTTCATTATTTTGTAAAGTGTTTATACATTTGGTCTGCTGCTTGAGGAAACCACTGGGGAAGACTCTCTGTAAGTAGAAGCACCTGTAAAATCTCCAGTGTACACAAAACCAAAAGATCTGATTTGCTTAGACCACAAACTTTTCTGAAGGATGAGAAAGGTCTCAGTACTGACTGGGAAGGTGAAATCCCAGAAGGCACTTACTAGAAAAGGAGTGGAGGTCTTGGGGAATTACTTGATAAATAACCACAGTAAAATCATAGCATAGCAGCACTCTGTGCTTCTCTTATGTGGTAGGGAGGAAACTTTCTGGCTGTGAAATGGGAAGATGTCAATAGCTCTGCTTCATTCTCAGCTTCTGCAATGTCCTTCCTTCAACAAACCATGCACTGGGGCAGCCAGACTGCAATGGGCAGCAGCCTGTGCTGATGGAAAGAAGATACTGTCTGGATCCCATGGAGAGCAAGGTGAGCTCAACCTTTTAAGGGAGTCCATTGGCTCAAGCCTCAGTTTGTGTTTCCTGTGATCAAAGCTCATCCCGGTGTGGTACCAGACAAAGCTGTGCTGTACCTCAGAGTGGAGTAACAAGATAAAGACCTTGTTATTCTCCAGAGCCAGTACTGAGGTCAGGAACGCTAAAGGAAAGGAAGACAGAAACAATTGCCAAAGCAGGAGAGAGAGTACGATGAGAATAGGGACAGCCTACAGTCAAATAACTGCAGTTGCATACTGTGTCTGAGCACACAGGGGGATGCTGGATGTGAACACATTCTGTAGCCATTGTCCAGAAGGACCTCAAACTGTAAGAACAGGGTCCAGCACGTACCTGCCCTTCTATAGGGTGTCAGTCTCTTGTAACAGGCTGCTCTGTGTTTGCTGAAGTTAACAGCTGATGGAAGGGCTTGAAGATGTCACTGAAAAATTCTGTGGGAAAAGGCTTAGAACAAGGATCCCTCTGAACTGTGCTCAACAGCATCTCCGCAGGGATCACATCACTGCCACGTGTAGTCATGGCATTTTCTGTCTTTCCCTTCCCTTTCTCTTTTTTGGGGCTGGGTTAGGATGTGTATGTGCAGCAGTGACACGTACAGCAGCACACATGGGTACACACAGACACACAGCGCATGCATACGCTGGCACTTGAGATTGCTGAAGGCAGAAGTTAAATCCCACATCAAAGCAGAGAGCTATTGGAGCAGCACTGTTCAAAGGCACCAGCTTCCTTCCTGGGAAAGACAGATTGTCACTTTGATTAAGAGATTTTAACAAGAGAGAAAAAAGAGAGGGAATGAAAGAAGGGAGGAGAGAAAAGTGAGAGTTTTCATTTATACTTTTTCTCCCCTTTGGCCATCCAAATAAAGTTTTGGTTTGATGAAAAAAAGACCCCAATTTAAAATAAGTTTAATGTAACAATGAATTATTTAAAGCAGAAGAAAATACAAGCTGCTGCCTAAAAAAAAGAAAAAAAAAAAAAGAAAAAGCTATTATTGAAATGTCAGAACAAATACCCAGCTTGATCTGCATTAATATGATAAATACTAATATATTCATTTCCCCTGGTGCTTCTGGGCTTGCAGAGGTACATCTGCAGTGCCTTGCTTATGGTAATCAGGTCGCAGCTTCAAAGGGAGGCACGCAAGGTATTCTGGGTGATGTTGTGCAAGCTGCAGTGAGAGACCTTGTGGTTCATCACGTAGAGTTGAGGAGAACTGAGCAGGGGTCTGCTGAAGATCTCTTGATTGCTGCAGGAAAATGAAAGTCTTGTCGTGTTTGCTGGTGGACCATCAGTCACGGGACAAAACTGGTGCCTGCACGTTGTCATTTTGCTGTAATGAGAGTGAGGTGGAGAAAGCAATGAGCTTTGCGTCTTGTATCTCCACATCCTAATTCCTACTGTCTCCTACGGCTGGGAATAGGTGCCATGGGTGAGCTGCAGAGCACAGCTGCAAGCCAACCAGCATCTCAGTTTCTTCTTCTACAGTCTCACAGTAAATAATTCAGGAATTATTTAGTGAAGCTGATAGTTTAAAGCTTCAAGAACCTTCATGTGGTTTTGGAGTCTAGTAATCTGGGAACTGCAAGTAGAACGTCTCCAGCAGGGACCAGTGTTGCCTTCTTCTAGGCACCATCTCTACTCACCCTGTTCTTGTCTTTTGGATGAGAGGCAGGGAGAGGAGGGAAACATGTTTGGAGAGAGGAGGTATGATACAGTTACCATACGTGAACCTATCGAAGAGTCAAAGCGTTTTGATGTTGTCAGGAGATGTTAGGTTAGGTTTTTACCTTCTTGATCAAGTCTTCTTACAGAAGATCATCTCAGATATACTTGATTAATACACTGCTAACCTACTCTGCATTCCTTTCCTGGTAAAACTCTGGTTGTGTGCTGCAGTGAAGCTGTTATCTCATGCGACCTGCTGTAGGGAATCTGCTTTGGCAGGGGGGTTGGACTCAATGATCTCTGGAGGTCCCTTCCAACCCCTACAATTCTGTGATTCTGTGAGACATTGAGCTCTTCCTAACAGTGAACATCTAGATTGCAAACTGAAGTGTGGCTTTGTAAGCTGGTCCTGCTCCTGCCCCAAGGGAGCAGTATTGCACCCAGAGGTGTTCAGCTGATTGTGTTGCCTGAGCTTCCAGGTGGATGAAAGAAGTGCATCTAAAGCCTGGATAAAGTTAGTTAGAGACCTGCAGAAGCTGTGCCTGCCAGTCTGTTGGAGTAATCTGGACTCACTTGAGAAGCTCCTCTTCTGTGTGTCTGTTCCTCTATGAAATGCTCTAGTTCCCAAGGAACGCTAATGTGCTTTTCCAGTAGATTTTACTCACAAATGCAATAGAGTTTGAGTCCATCTGCTTCTGGCCCTCTTTCCCTCCATTGCCTAAATCCGAATGTTTAATGCTGGCTTTTGGGCACAAGCATGCCATGCCCCAGCTACAGACCAGTTTCTCAATTAAAAGATGCATATGCTTTATTATTTATACTTTTTTTCTTTTTTTTTTTCCTGGAGATGCTCCACAGTGTTTGAAGTTTGCTGGAAACCCCCAGCAACAGCCCCAGGCCTTGAACTTCAGAAGGCGAACTCTCCCAGTGGCCATTTTCAATCCATTCACTGGGAAAATGTGATTACTTCTTATTTATTGAAGTTAAGTATTCCTGCTTGTAGCCACCATGGCATTAAAGTAAAATGCTCGGCATTTAAGGCGATGAATGCAGAGACACAAGGCTAAACGCAGTGCATAAAATCTTTATGGCACTGTAAAACAGACGCCGGGAATATTTTCAACTGCTGTGTTGTGAGTCAAGCTGGGTCCCCCTCTGCCAGGCAGCCTGCCCTGGGTGCCCTTGAGGCTGTGCCCACAGCGTGTTGGCCTGCAGAGGGGAAGGGACCTGGGGAACAGGAAGCTCTCTGCTTCCTGGCATGCGCTGCTCTTGCCAAGGCTGGCTTTGGCCGTGCTTGGTGGCTGTTGCTGCATCAGTGCAGGTCTGGGGGGTAAACAGACGTGGCTGCTATCAGCTCTGATTGCTTCCGAGCAGCTTTCCTCAGTGTCAGCCTCAGATAAATAGAGCTCCAGAGGAAATCAGCTCAGAGTGAGTTTTGTCAGCTTCAAAAGAGATTCATTCCTAGAGTTGTCAGTCACAGGAGAGTGATGGCTGAGATTGCTGAGGGAAGCAAGGCCTGTAGGCATTAAAACAGATACTGTTGCTCGAACTCAGGGTTCAAAGACAAGATTTAATCTGGGCTGTGGGTTTGTGCAAACTCACTTCCCCTTTTGCTTTCTCACATGTAAGGTCTGATTCCCACAGGCACACTCAGCTTCCTATGCTCCATAAGCATTTGTTGCCTTTTTGATCAGCCCTAGAATCTACTTCCTCCCTCCCATCTGAGCCTGACACCAAGCACTGTGCTAAGCATGAGAGTTGGGCTCCTGACCTTTTCTCTGTGGTGTCACGGCCTGGCTGTGTCCTCACCCATGAATGGATGCAGGAAAGCTGTCAGCAATGTGAGCACCTCCTTCCCTGGGGAGCGTGGCTGGAGACCCTGAGAACCAGAGTCACAGTCTGCTCAGCTCAGCCTGTCTGCATGGAGACCCAGCTGATGTCTTGGGGCAGCGTGGCACAATCCAGACTGGCTGTGCCACCTCCCTGAGTCCTCCCCAACATGCTGGGCTCAATGACAGACCTGAGAGCTTCTCCCAGGGGCTGGGAAAACTGCATCAAATATGGAGTGGCATTTTGCAAGCTTTGCTCTTGGTAGAAACTACCGTGTGCCTGTTGGGAATGCCCCTACCCATCTGCAGTAAAGTTATGAGGACTGCTTTACATCTTTGCCCTTCCTTGATTGCTTTGGATGCTTCGTTGCTGCAAAGGTTCCTGTCCCACATCCAGGCCTCCTCCCTCCTCCCCTGCCGCCGCCTCTTCCATCCATTCGGTGAGCATCTCTTGCCTCTAACATATGGTCAGAGCATATTCTCAGCAATGCACACACTTCTGCTTCTTCACTTCAGCAGCAGCAGCAACTGTTGAACGGGAAATCTGTCGTTTAACTCGGCCGTTTGCAGTCGCTGAAGAGAAGTAATTACAATAGCCTTAATTGGCTGACTGCAGAGCCGCTGCCCGAGTAGTAATAAATAGTGCATGCTTAGGAGCTGGATGAGGTGTAACCATCCAGGGTTTCTCCTCTTCTTCTTCCAGTGGACCCGAATCCTATTCACACAAGAGGCTAACAGGGGTGTTGGGCTGCTGCTTTAAAGAGCCAGCCCTTCATACAAGGGAGATGCTGGTCAGCAGAGACTCGGAGATGTTTCCTGAAGCTCTCTCGCAGGATCCTGGCAGGACAAGCTCTTGGCAGCTCTACTGCTGCCTGCCTCTGCCTGGGTCCCCTGCCTTCCCCTTCTCCTGCTGCTGCCAGGCTATAGCAGGGCGTTTTTTCATTAGCAGTGATGCAGGCAGAGCAGGGCCAATTACTCACTGCTTTATGCTTGCTGGAAAACCCACCCAGGACTGGTAATAGCCATTAAGTGAGGGTGCAGCTTTAACTACGTGCCATTACATTAAGTTTCAAGTTGATATATGGCCAGAGCAAATTGAATTCCTGCTGCTATCCCGTCTGACATTTGTTACATTACAATGCCTGCTCTTTTGTTTTTGAGTCAATAGCTGCTGCTTTCGAGAAATATGGATTATTAGAATTTATAGCCCGTCCTACGCGTCTTTTCAAACACTCATATCCTTTTATCATTTCGTTTTGTTGTTATTCTGCCCAGCACAGTTTGTATTTCTTCAGGTTTTAGCACCTGGGACTCTTGATACTTGTGCTAAATCAATACCCTTTGTCCTCATTGCTTTAATATACACAACCATTTGCGTGATGCATGAATTGCGGTGGGTTTTCTGCCTGCGATAGTCCTTTACTCCTCCTGCTCAGGCATTCCTTCCCCTGCTGCACACAGGTCGTGCTTTGCAGTA